AACCAAAAGCTTGGCAACTTGAATTCACCAGCCACTCCACAGGAGAAAGATGAGGCAGTCTGCTTCCGTAAAGATTTACAGCTTTGGAAACCCTGTTGGGCAGTTCTACCCTGTCCAAACAAACAAATCCGTCCTGCAAGAAGTGCAGTTGGGATGCTCCTTGGAAGCTCTAGTGCCAGACTTTGTCTCACCTACTTTGGTCATATTGTCAGACAGGACAATTCCCTGGAAAAGGAGTATCATACTTGGCAAAGTAGAGGGCCAGCAAAGAAGGGGAATACCCTCAACAAGATGGATTGACACAGTGGCTGCAATGATGGGCTCAGGTATAGCAAGGATTGTGAAGACGGTGCAGAAGCAGGTAGGGGTTCGTTCTTCCATATGCCCTGAGTTGCTATGGGCTGGAGCCGAGTTGATGGCACCTAACAACAACAACAACAACAATTCTGTCCAAAAGGGTCATTATGAGTCTGAGTCAATTCAATGTGACTGGGTTAAAGGAAATGAATTCTGAAATCAGTATCACTATTACTAGTTCCTAAAGGAGGGCTGGTTTTCCCCTAATTTGGGTTTTCCCTTATTGGAACTTTGTACTTTAATCCAGCCACTAAAGTAACTGTTTTCTGTTTGAAACAAGAGCTCTAGTGGTATTTTCCCAACAGAAAACATTGTGTTGAAGATGGCTTTCAAAAAGACCACGCTGGTCTAGATCTGTATATTTTACCCTGCAGGCATCAGGCATCATCCAACAGTTCCAAATCAAACACATTCACCCTTGCACCAAAGTCTTCCCCCCTCCTGGCTAGTGGTTGATGGTTCTGCCACCTGTTCAGTCACAAAGCTGGAAACTTTGCAGAAGCTTGAAAAAGCCAGAGGCCATCAAGTCAACTCTGACTCATAGAGACCCCACCTGTGTCACAGTAGAACTGTGCTCCATAGGTTTATTTTTTAGTGGGTTATCTTTCTGAAGTAGATTGCCAGAACTTCTTTTGCAATGTTTCTCTTGGTGGACTTAAACCACCAACCTTTCCCTTAGTAGTGAGCACATTTGTACCATCCAGACTCCACATTTGCCATTGGTTCCTGGGGCTGTTAGCTAGGCCTGTTATATAGATCTGGTTTCTCAGTCTCAGCACTACTGCTATTTTGGGTCAGATAATTTTTTGTTTTGGGGCCAGCCCTGTGCATTGTAGGATGTTTAGTAGCATCCCTGGTCTCTGGCAAACAGATACCAGTAGCAAACCACTGCTCCCGCATCTCCCAACTGTGAAACCCTAAGTGTCTCCAAAAACCGAAACCAAATCCACTGCCATTGAGGTGATTCTGTCTAGCATAGTGCCTAAGGCAGTTGACTGCTAACCAGAAGGCTGGTGGTTCAAAACCACCAGCTAATCTTCAGAAGGAAGATGAGGCAATCTACTCCCATAGTGATACCGCCTAGGAAACCCAAGGAGGGGTCGCTATGAGTCGGGTCCGACTCGAGGGCACATAACAACAAAAACAACAGTGACCCTATAAGACAGA